CATCACCTGCTGCTTTTGCCACGCCTTCCACTGCCGACGGGCATACCACCGTTCCTCCTCCCACTCCTCCAGAGTTGGTGGCTTCCTGCTCGACCACACGTACATGCAGTCGTTCTCCAGTCGTCCCTCCTCCCTTTCCGGCCACCAACCTTCATAGGCTTCCATGCAGCCACAGTAGCAATACACATGTGCCCACCGCCACATACGCCCTTCCCACCTCCGCCAAACGTCCTCCTCGTCGTCATAGAAGTAGCACTCGGGCTTTTTGACAAGGCGCCGCCCATGTTTGAAAAGGTAGTGGCGCGGAACTGCGGAACAAAGATGGACTTTGAGCAAAGAAGCTGCGGCCGATGCACAAGAAATCAATTATGCCAATGCTAAGCAGTACGCATGTGCATGAGCCATCTGCTCTCCAGAATCCGCCTCTCCTCTTTCCCTCCTTCTCTATCTTCCCTCTCTCCCTCTCTCCCCCTCTCCCCCTCTCCCCCTCTCCCCTCCCCCTCTCCCCCTCTCCCCCTCTCCCCCTCTCCCCCTCCCCCCTCGCCCCCTCTCCCCCCTCTCTCCCCCTCCTCTCTCCCTCTCTCCCTCTCCCCCTCTCTCCCTCTCTCCCTCTCCCTCTCTCTCTCCCGCTCTCCCCTCTCTCCCTCTCTCCCTCCTCTCCCTCTCTCCTCTCTCTCCGTCTCTCTCTCTCTCCCTCTCTCCCTCTCTCCCTCTCTCCCTCCTCCCTCTCTCCCTCTCCTCTCCTCTCTCCCTCTCTCCCTCTCTCTCCCTCCTCTCCCTCCTCCCTCTCTCCCTCTCCCTCTCTCCCTCTCTCCCTCTCTCCCTCTCTCTCTCCCTCTCTCCCTCCACTCTCTCTCCCTCTCATCCCTCTCTCCCTCTCTCCTCTCCCTCTCTCCCCTCCTCTCTCTCCCTCTCTCCCTCTCTCCCCTCTCTCCCTCTCTCCCTCTCTCCCTCTCTCCCCTCCTCTCTCCCTCTCCTCCCTCCTCTCTCCCTCTCCCTCCTCTCTCCTCTCCTCCCCCTCTCCCTCTCTCTGCTCCCTCTCTCCCTCTCTCCCTCCTCTCCCTCTCATCCCTCTCCCTCTCTCCCTCTCTCCCTCTCTCCTCCTCTCTCCCTCTTCCCTCTCAGTCACCTCTCTCCCCTCTCTCCCTCTCCTCCCTCTCCTCTCCTCTCTCCCTCTCTCCTCCCTCTCTCGTCCCTCTCCTCCTCCTCTCTCCCTCTCCCCTCTCTCCCCCTCCCCTCTCTCCTCTCTCTCCCTCTCTCCCTCTCTCCCTCTCTCACTCCCTCTCTCCCTCTCCCTCCCCTCCTCCTCCCTCTCTCCCTCTCTCCCTCTCTCCCTCTCTCCCTCTCTCTCTCTCCCTCTTCTTCCCCTCTCCCCTCTCCCTCCCTCTCTCCCTCTCTCCCCCCTCTCCCCCCCCTCCTCTCCCTCTCTCCCTCTCTCCCTCTCTCCTCGGCTTCCCCTCTCTCCCTCTCTCTCCCCTCTCTCCCTCTCTCCCTCTCCCTCTCCCTCTCTCCCCTCTCTCCCTCTCTCTCCCTCTCTGTCCCTCTCTGTCCCTCTGTCGTGCCTCTATGTCCCTCTCTGTCGTCCCTCTCTGTCGTCCCTCTCTGTCGTCCCTCTCTGTCGTCCCTCTCTGTCCCTCCTCTCTGTCCCTCCTCTCTGTCCCTCCTCTCTGTCCCTCCTCTCTGTCCCTCCTCTCTGTCCCTCCTCTCTGTCCCTCCTCTCTGTCCCTCTCTGTCCCTCTGTCTCTCTGTCTCTCTGTCGGTTTAGGGTCAAGGATTTAGCTTGTCTACCTCACAGGGGTGGTGCATGTTCCACTAAGATGTGAAACGAGCCCCCTTTTCTAAGGGTAGTTACATGGTCCCTGAGTATGGGCCCGTAAACGGGGGCCCCGCATATACCCCTGACATACCCGACACACACTAAGAGCCCATAATCAGAACCCTTTGAAGGAGGTTGGGGACCATATGAAGGGCCCATGTAACTAAACCCTAAACCCTACACCCTAAACCTTTCAAGGGAGGTGAGGGACCATATTAAGGGGCCATGTGACTTTAGACTTTAAGCCAACTAAGAGCTGACGAGGCCCCCCCCCTTTTGCCTGAGCTACTACTAGTTGCTTAAAGAACCCCCCCCCCCCTTTAGGGTTCAGGGTTCAGGGTTTAGGTTTTAGGGGGATAATAGTCCCGATAATGAGGAAGAATGATTTTCAATTTTTTCGGGGTTCTTGAGCAATTCGTAGGTTACGAGGTAGTTAGGATGATGCTCTGCTGGTCGTTCAGGGCTAAGGGGATAGATCATGTCCCTCAGGGCGCCAAACTTCTAAACCAGATTTTGGCTGACTTCTGGACCCCTCCCCCTAAAAAGCTTAACTTTTAGGCTCCTTATCGTCGTTTCTCTACAAAGACCCAAAAGGTTGAAGCCCTAAGGGTCAGCCAGAAGCTATACTCCCCTTTGAACCTGAATAAAACTAATATCTTACATGTCCTCTATTGGTTTTTTATAAGAACAAAAATAAAAAAATATTCCCCAAGGGTGATATAGGAAGAAAGCCAAGACAAGCCCCCTAAACCCTAAACCCTAAACCCCAAACCCCAAACCCTAAACCCTAAACCCTAAACCCTAAACGACAAGCCCTGTCCTCCCAGATGCGTCCATGATCATCGGACATGGCGGCGACATGTCGGAAGAGTCAATGTCAGGTGGGAACAGTCATTGTCTGACTACGGGTCGTGCGCGACTACAGTTGAAACCTAAACCCTAAACCCTAAACCCTAAACCACAAAGCTAGTCGGCTTGGATGTTGGCTGCAACCAATCATGCTGAGAGCTACGCCTGGTTAAGGCTCTCTGTTTAGGGGTTCCAAAATCACACAAACGTAAGGACCCCAAAGGGGATTCCGAAAGCCCTTCTTTGCAAGATCCTTGTGTTTATGTAGTTTTTGTGGGGTCCCTACGGTTTTTCTTCTGGGGAAGGAACCGAGGTGGCATCGCAATGTGGCTAGTCCCCTTCCAGACTCCTTTTACATCTCTTGATACCCCTGAACCCTAAACCCTAAACCCTAAACCCCAAACCCCAAACCCTAAACCCTAAACCCTAAACCCTAAACCCGGGCTTTGGGGCTTCATCATCCTTCGGGTCTCAGCTTGCGCGAGCTGCAATGTTGCGACATTGGTAAGGAAACGAGGTTCAAGGATAACCGCGGTTTAGGGTTTAGGGTTTAGGGTTTGGGGTTTGGGGTTTAGGGTTTAGGGTTGAGGGTTTAGGGTTTAGGGTCTAGGGTTCGTCTAATAGGGTTTAAGGATCGACACCTCCCACCCCCCCCCCCCCCCACCCCCACCAATGTATGCTCATGATCTACAGACTTCGCTAGCCTCTGTTTGTTTCGCCGTCAGACTGGGCTTTGTAATCTAGGTTGCCTCCAGAAACCTAGCAACAGAAAGGATGCTCATTTGTTGTGTAAGCAAAAGGGATCCCAACACTTTTGAGGGGCGATAGTGGTCCTAGCTAGTAGGCACTCAGGACCACCCCCCCCGCCCTCCACCGAATAAAATACAAAGAACAAAAGAAACAAGTAACGTGTAGGAGGGTACCCGGACGCGGGACTTGCGCTCCTAAACTTAAACTCTAAACCCTCTAAACCCTGAAAAACCCTAAAAAACACCAAAAACCCTAAAAACCCCAAAAACCCTATAAACCCTATAAACCCTAAAAAACCCTATAAACCCTAAAAACCCTATAAACCCTAAAACCTAAAGTGGCCAGAACAAACCAAAAACCCTATGAACCCTACACCCTAAACCCCATGAACCCTAAACCCTAAAACCCTAAAACCCTAAACCCTAAACCCTAAACCGTAAACCGTAAACCCTAAACCCTAAACCCTAAACCCTAAACCCTAAACCCTAAAGCGGCAAGAAAAAAACTTGAAGCCTCGGAGCTCCGAGTGTTGACCCCGTTGGGTACTACTGGGCCCAAGGCAAAAGGAGCGCACCCAACGCCCAAGAAACAGAAGATAGGGTTTAAGGATCGACACCTCCCATAGCGCACGTGGCCGCCTTTGAGGACGGACGATGTAAGGGTTTAGGGTTTAGGGTTCAGGAGGTTTACGGTTTAGGGTTCAGGAGGTTTACGGTTTAGGGTTCAGGGTTTAGGGTGTATGGAGGCATGGAGGCCCCGAAGCAGTAGTCCTCATAGAGGCATGCAGAGCGCAGTGGGAAACTGCCCTTGGGCTGTTAAGCAAAGAGCCCCCTAAACTAACTTTTAGCCTCGAACCCCAGCCCCAGACCCGAAATCCTTAACCCAATGCCCTGAAGCCCCTCAAACCCTGAAACCCCTAAAAGACCCAACCCCACCTCGAACCCTCAAACCCTCTTGTCAAACCCTGAAACCCTGAAACCCTCAAACGTCAGCCAAGGGCCTCCTAAACCCTAAACCCTAAACCCTAAACCCTAAACCCTAAACCCTAAACCCTAAACCCTAAACCCTAAACCCTAAACCCTAAACCCTAAACCCTAAACCCTAAACCCTTTTTGTCTCCAGGCCTCGAAGCCTTCTGGGTTTTGTCGTCCCTGAGAGGAGCTCCGCTTTGGGAAAACCCCTGTCTCCTAGGTGGGAATTCAGGAGGCTTGGGATTTTGAGGCTTATGTAGGCTTGGGGTCTTAAGGGTTTTGCTGGGGCTTGGTGGGGTTTTCGGGTTTAGCAAGTTGGGCGGTAGGTTTTGTTCGGGATTGGGGTTGTTGCACGCTCTTTGCTTTTGGAACAGTAAGAAGTAAGCCCCTAAACAAAAAGCCCTAAACCCTAAACCCTGAACCCATCTTTTCCTTTGGGCCTATAGGGGTTAGACTAGCTTACTATCCTACTATCTTACTATCTGACTATCTTACTATATCCTGTGCTTCATGGCCCCAGATTGCTACCTGCAACACTGACTCTCAAAACCCTATAAACTTTACACATCCTGAGAACAAACGCGCACGCACACATACATGCGGGAACCGCCGGCTCAGTAGTCCCAAAGGTCCACTGTCCATTTCGCCCCGAGCTGGACCAAGGCGGCGCACCTCAGGATCAGGTTGTTCGGGGTTTTGGGACTTCACAAAATGAGGGTTTAGGGCTTAGGGGTTTGTATGACAGGGAAACTTCTGAAGCCTCGAAACATTCGGGCATCCGCCCTGCGTAGGACGTCTCAAAGGGAGGAGCGGCCGCCATCGTGCCACAGACATGTCTTGAGAACTTCTAAGCTTGTCTTCTAGGGTTTAGGGTTTAGGGTTTAGGGTTTAGGGTTTAGGGTTTAGGGTTTAGGGTTTAGGGTTTAGGGGTTTCCCTCTTTGGCTTTCGTGTTTTTTTTGTGAGGGGGGAGTTTGGGAGTTCGGGATGCAGGGCTGGAGGCTGCTGCAGAAATTGTGGGGCTCTCAGTCCCCAGGGCAGACGGGTGTATTGAAACAGACGGAACTCGTTCTGGGAGTTGGACTTGGGGGTTTAGGGTTCGTAGGGTTTAGGTTCTCATTTGATCTGGTCTCAAGCTTAAGTATGCCTCGGTCTGCCGTGAAGTTTACCCCGAGAAAGCTGCTTGCCTGTCAAACCTCGAACCCTAAACCCTGAACCCAGGCACCTTACTAGTTCATGGTTGGGATAATACTGAAAGGGAAATTTAGAATCTTATTGAGACTATGACCAAGCTTAGGGCTTTAGGTCCTACTAGGTTTCAGGCAAAAGCAAGCCCCAGCCTCAAACCTCTCCACACCTGAATCTTCTCCTGGGCAGCCGGGCGAAGGGCCTGTGACGCCTGTCCGAGTGAGGGAGATACACCACCCCAAACTCTGAAAACCCCAAAGACCCAAAACCCCAAAACCCTCAAGCCCCAAAACCCCAAAACCCTAAAACCCCTGAAGGCCCAAAACCCAAAACACCCTAAGACCCCAAAAACCCCAAAAAACCCAACAAAAAACAAAAACAAAAAACACAACCTTAAAAACCTCAAACCGAAAAACCTGAAAGCCCTAATTTAAGGCACCCCGGGGGTCAGAAGGCTGAGAGCTCGAACCACGCAAGCTTTGTGGGAGCAGCGTGCCCTAAGAGACCTAACCGCAGACTCGACGCAAGATACTCTAAATCCTAAACCCTAAACCCTAAACCCTCTGGGCCTGCGGATGGAGCAGTTACAGATGTCAACTCACTCCCGGGAACCTCCAATTTACACGAGAACCCTCCGCCACGGGTGGGTTTAGGGTTTAGGGTTTGGGGTTTAGGGTTTAGGGTTTGGGGTTTAGGGTTAAGGGTTTAGGGTTTAGGGGTTTGGGGTTTGAGGGGTTTAGGGGTTTAGGGTTCAGGGTCGTTGGGAGCTCTTATAAGAACCCTAGAAACCTCTTGACCCCAAAACCCTAAATATTATAGAAGTCGGCATAATCATCATCTTAAAAAATCATCATTATGGAAATCCTGTAAACCTTAAACCCTAAAACTCTAAAACCCTAAACCCTAAACCGCTGTCATCCTCATACACCGGGTTTAGGGTTTAGGGTTTAGGGTTTTAGGGCGGCACAGGCCTCCGGAGGGCGGGAGGAAGTCGCCGAAAGACCAGGAGCCTGGGCTTTGGGGGGCTTGGAAGGATGGTGGTCCGAGGGCTTTGGGGCCGTGTTGTTTTTTTCTTCTAACCCTAAACCCTAAACCCTAAACCCTAAACCCTAAACCCTAAACCCTAAACCCTAAACCCTAAACCCTAAACCCTAAACCCTAAACCACACCAAAACATTGACTCCAAGGGCCTTGAGGCCGCAACCCCACATTGCGATCTATGTGTAGCCCGTTTAGGGCTTATAGGTTTTAGGGTGTCTAGGGTTTAGGTTTAGGGTTTAGGGGGTTTAGGGGGTTTAGGGTGTTTAGGGTGTTTAGGGTGTTTAGGGTGTTTAGGGTGTTTAGGGTGTTTAGGGTGTTTAGGGTGTTTAGGGTTTAGGCTTAGGGGGCTTCAGGGTTTAGTCTTCAGGGTTTAGTCTTCAGGGTTCAGAGTTTAGGGTTCAGGGTTCAAGGACTTATGCAACGGGCTTCGGGTTTAGGGTTCAGGGATGGAGGAGCTTTCTGCTTGGATGCAACCCCCTGATCCCTGTAAAGAGCTGGCACATAAGCCCTTGACTGTTGGCCGCCATCGGAAGGGCTTCCGACGTGCACCTGACCAGCAAGGCCCCAATCCACGAACACTCCGAGCACTTTGGGCCTCTCACTTCTTGCCTAAACCCTGCAACATTGACCCTTTAAATTCTGGAACTTAAACCTAAGCCCGTAAACTTTATAAACCCTTAAACAATTAAACCCTGTAGCCCTGCAACCCTTAAACCTTAAACCCTCAAGAGCACAATGTTTCAGGCCTCAGCTCCCTTCCAAGCTCTCCGAAAAGCTATGAGTATTGCATGGCATGGTGCTCTTCAGGGGTGCAGTCGGTGTCTTCTGCGGAAACCTGGAATACTTCGTGTCCCACCCGCCTGTCCACGTCCACGCAAGGTGCCTGCCAGTTTGGGGAAGTTTGTAGGAAGAGGGGGCACCGCACAGGTACCTTAGAACTGCTTATGGCCTGGGTTACCCTACATTGCCTAGATCCCTAAACCCTGAACCCCTAAACCACTAAACCCTAAACAAAAGATCGTCATAGTCACTTCTGCGATGCACAAGCCTAAGCCCTGTAGGTACTGAAAACCTAAACTCCATAAACCAACCGAGGGTCCATGTACCTCATTATTATAAACTTGGGCACTAAAGTCCCTGTATAGGAGGTACTTTAAGGCCCAAGTATGTAATAATTAGGTACATGGACCCTTAGGGCAAGTACGCAGGCGCAGAGGTGGCACGAACCGAAAGACAACGCAGGAGCCCAACAAAACCATCCTGCCATGCCTCAACGCCAGGGATTGAAACACCTAAGAGTCCTTAAACCTGAACACCCTCATTCCTAGAATCCTAAAGCCTCAGCAACTATCCCGGCTCGAACTCTCGACTTTCGCCTTCGCGAGGGAAGCTCGTGGGACGTCGGAGCAGCCGGGGTCTAGAGCTTGAGGCTTTAAGGCCAAAAAGCAACAAAGACTTGCGAAGAGGCATCAGGGCGAAACCCTTCATGATTTTTTTTAGGACTTGAAGTTTACATAGGATCCTCAGACATAAACTTACCTAAACCCTAAACCCCACACCCTAAACCACAAGCCCTACACCCCCCAAGCCTCCAAACCCCGCACTCCCACCCTCTAGACCCCTAAACCCTAAACCCTGAACCCTGAACCCTGAACCCCGAACCCTAAACCCTAAACCCTAAACCCTAAACCCTAAACCCTAAACCCTAAACCCTAAACCCTAAACCCTAAACCCTGGCCTCCAAGGGCCCGCCCGCGAAGCGAAGACGGAGGCGGAAGGCAGCGCTGCCCGCATCGAAGGCCTCGGTGGGTTTAGGGTTTAGGGTTTAGGGTTTAGGGTTTAGGGTTTAGGGTTTAGGGTTTAGGGTTTAGGGGTTTGGGGCTTAGGGCTTGGGGTTTGGGGTTAGGCTTTAGGGTTTGGGGCTTGGGGTTTAGGGTTAGGGTTTAGGGTTTAGGGTTTATAGGGTTTAGGGTTTAGAGGGTGTAGGGTGTTTAGGGTTTTTGGGTTTTTAGGGTTTGTAGGGTGTTTAGGGTTTATAGGGTATAGGGTTAGGGTTTAGGGTTTATAGGGTTTAGGGTTTTTAGGGGTTTTAGGGTTTATAGGGTTTTGGGTTTAGGGTTTGGGGGCTTCGACCCAGTAATCGTATAGAAGCGCGACGGGAACCACCCATGACCAGCTTGTTGGCAATGGTTGCGGCTTGGGAGGCATCGAGGGTTTAGGGCTTGTGTAACCCTAAGGGTCCATGTACCTTATTATTATATACTTGGGCCTTAAAGTAGCTCCTATACAGGGACTTTAGGGCCCAAGTGTATAATAATGAGGTACATGGACCCTTAGGGTAAGTGTCTCAAAGGTTTGGGGTCTAAGGCGGAGAAGGGTTTTTCGGGCAACTGTGGGCTGCCCTAAAGCCCCTAATGCCCCAAAAGCCCGAAAAGCCCCTAATGCCCCAAAAGCCCCAACATCCCAACCCTGGAGATAGCCAGAGGCTGCTTAGGGCGTACTTGGAGGTCTAGCAACCCCCTCAGCCTCAGCATGGATCCCCCTTGAGAATACTAACAGTACCCATCAGAATGGTTCATGACACATATATTGAGAATAAGATAGTACGGAATAATCATAATCATAATCATAATAAAAATGATAATAATGAAATCTAATCCATTTTAATATAATACGGTACTTTGGTTGTTTTCTCACTCTCTCTTGGGGGACTTCTGAGACCAGATAACCATGCTGATGCTCGGATCTTGAAGTCCTTGAAAACCCTGAAATTTCGGCACTCTCTGGCGTCTCCTAAGGGTGGCCGCCGTAAACCCTAAACCCTAAACCCTAAACCCTAAACCCTAAACCCTAAACCCTAAACCCTAAACCCTAAACCCTAAACCCTAAACCCCCCCAAGCCAAGAGTTGCTTGGTCCGAGGCGACGAACCCGCAAGGCGTCTCAGAACTCGGGTCCTTGGGGCGAGGGAGGGGGGGGGGGAGAGAGGGGTTTTGGGGCATAGGGTATAGGGACAAGGGTTTAGGGTTTAGGGTTTAGGGTTTAGGGTTTAGGGTTTAGGGGTCAAGGGCCGAGAAGGGCCCGAAGGCGAACGAAACGATACGAAAGCCTTCTCCCTAGTATTTGAGCCCTGTCAGACTCGTTTAGGGACCGTTGCTACAGGCGTCTTAGTTGTTCCTTCTGCTAAGATTCTTCGAACATCCTCTAATCAGCAACAATCATACAATTAGTTTGCCTTTGTTTTTGTTCGGTCATTGTTCATGCTCATATTCTTCTGCTGCTGAGACAATGGCTGCTATTGCTGTGTTGCTTGCTGGCACCAACCTTCTGTTTTTGGCTTCTCATCCTCGTACTGCTGCTTTGCTCCTTCTCTTCATGTGAACATGTTCACACACACACACACATGCGACTTTGGTTCTGCTTATTCCCAGCAGTGACCCTTGCCACAAACACCTATAGGATGTTTCATGTAAACTGTCTTCAGAGTAGGTGGATGGCACAGCAGACTTTCTGGACTCTTGGGGAGGCCTCTCCAGTAGTTCGGGAAGACAGATCGGCTGATGGCTGGACAACCGTACAGCCTTTAAACCCAAAGCCCAAAACGAGAGAAACCCTTACCGCGCCTTCCCAGTGGCCACAGCCACTAGTATAGGGACCTCAACCATGGGCCTCTTGGGGGCGTATTCCTTGTAGTTTGGGCAACCCCTACCACATAGCCAGGGAGCCTCGTACCCCTTAGAAAATAATCGCCCCAAACACCTGAGCTGATATTAGGATCCCCATGCTACCCTAAACCCTAAACCCTAAACCCTAAACCCTAAACCCTAAACCCTAAACCCTAAACCCTAAACCCTAAACCCTAAACCCTAAACCCTAAACCCCCTGAACCCTAAACCCTAAACCCTAAACCCCCTGAACCCTAAACCCTAAACCCTAAACCCTTACATCGTCCGTCCTCAAAGGCGGCCACGTGCGCTATGGGAGGCCTGAGCGTGGTCTGATCACTTCGGAGCAGTGACCTCTGACTTTAGCTTTGCGGGTAGGGTTTAGGGTTTAGGGTTTAGGGTTCAGGGTTCAGGGTTCAGGGTTCAGGGCTTAGGGCTTAGGGCTCAGGTTTCTACCTGAGGGATTACAGCGTTTAGGGCTTAAGGTTAGGGGGCGGGGGTGCACAAGCTCCTGGCACGTTGTCAGGAACTTGCTTAGGTTCCATGTGCGCGATGCATTTCCGTCCTACTTGTCATGGGGCTGCCTCTGGACGAACCTGTTTGAATCGATATTCTCGAAGCCCTTGAGACACCCTAAACCCCAAACTCTAACTCTGAATAATATCTCTTGGGATTCCACAGAATGACGTAAGGGAATGCCGAGGAGACCACTGTCAGCACAACCTTTTTAACCCTGAGAATCGATGTGTTGGAGGAGGGTTCCTCAATCCCCAAAAACCAAAGACCTGATAAACAATGTACACGCGTTAAACAGCCAGTCCAGTTACCCCCCCCCCCCCGCCCTAAGCTCTGAACCCTAAACCCTAAACATCCCCAAGCCTATAAACCCTAAACCCACCTACACATGCGGGCAGCCTTGGTCGATCCTCCATTACGAGGCGCAGGAGTGAGCAGCTTGGCGCCTACGCCGGGCACAGTGCAGGAATGCAGGAGCCGTGAGCCTTCTTGGGACCCCAACAATCTGAAGGGTTTAGAGGTCCGAGGATTTTTTTTTTTTTGGGGGGGGGAGGGGAGGGGTTGTAGGGCCTGTAGGGCCTGTCTGACTTCGTAGCAAAACTCGAATGCAAAGGGGTCTTGGGGCTTCAGCTTTTGGGTTGAAGAGGAGCGAACCTGTCAGAAGTGCGGAACAAGGACTAGGACGGTTTGGAGCAAGGGGCTAGAGTACATGGGGCCTTTTGCTGGGGCTCAGGGTTGGAGGTTTTAGGGGCTTTGGGCTACTGAGTACTCTTTGCCAAACAAGGGTAAGCAGTAAATTAGCCCATGAGAGGAGAATGTGCCTGATTCGGCAGGTTTTTCTGCCAGCCCCACTACTTGCATGGGGGGCAGAAGTAGGTTGAAGTTGGGACGACCAATGCTGCCGTGGTCAGACTTTCTCCCGCACCTGCATGCCGCAAGTCCAGAACAAAAACCGAACCCTAAAGCCCTGATGGGGTTGTGCTTTTGTCTGGGACTTGGGGCAAGGGTATGAGGGTTCGCCCGACCTCTGATCACACGTGACTTCTGCCCAGAGAAAGCTGTCGCTGCTTTATGGTTTAAGTTTCAAGGGCTTTGGGCATTTTACGGCTTCAGTTCTGCAGTTCCTACCTATGTGGCGCAGCGTGAAAACCCTAAACCCACGACGGTGCCGTCTGGCCTCTTTGTCGCGTAGGCGCAGTTGCCTCAGCTTCGCTCGTCTTTTTGTGGCACTCGAAACGAAAACCCGTCAGAGAGGTCTGTAGTCTGCAACTAAACCCTATCCCCTAAACCGTAAGAGGTGTTGCTAGCTTTTTTCGCTATTGAAAGGAAGCTGCCGCATTGAGTGCTGGGATTCCAGGCTCTGGGTGGTGTGTTAGATGCTCGTTGTAGGCTTTCGGCCGCCCCTCCGAAGTTGCGTTTCTCTAGAAAGCAGGAACATTGTAAGGCAGAAGCAGGAGCCATTGGGATAATTCAGTAGGGCTTCGGGCATGCGGGCCGTTCTCACTACAGGGAAACTACAGTCCGAACCTTTCTGAGCTTGCTACCTTAGTAGAGGGTCCTCTGCTAGAAGGCCATATCAGACATCCAGTCAGCATGAGACGAACACGAAACCCATGCTCGACGCCAGAGCCTCGTGCTAACCCCTAAACCCTAAACACGTCCCCCTGAAGAAATACACCAAAACATCAGGAAACTACATCCGACGTGGGGCAGCCTTTTGCAGCCCTTTGGGGCGCATAGAAAAACCGAATCCCCTCACCCCCTCTTCGCAAGTTCATGGAAAGTTACAATCCAACACCCAAACCCTAAACCCCAAACCCCAAACCCTAAACCCTAAACCCCAAACCCTAAACCCTTGAACCTTGAAAGCCCCCTCTACCGTCTTCTGCGGCGAAGTGGCACCACCGCCGGAACCCCAGAAGTGAAGCCCAGGAAAAGAAAACGCAGGGGTCCTGGTGCTCAGACTCTTTAGGGTTTAGGGTTTAGGGTTTGGGGTTTAGGGTTTATAGGGCTTAGGGTTTAGGGTTTAGGGTTTGGGGTTTCGGGGAGAAGTCACTTGTGGCTGTATGCTGTAGAAGTTGTAGCGATTTCCGGCTTGAGATGCAGGCGACATTGCGAGAGATGGGAGACTCTGTGGGATCTCATTTTGCCCGCAGCACTGCAAGCCCTCAACCCTGAAACCCTTCAGTGCAGCCCAAGACCCTCAAACCCTAAACCCTAAACCGGCCCTAAACCCTGAACCCTAAACCCTAAACTGGCCCTAAACCCTGAACCTTGCGCCCTAAACGCTTCGGGCCTGTTGCGGATTCAGGGATTGCTTTCCCAGCTTATCTTCAAGCTTACCTGGTTTAGGGCTTAGGGTTTAGGGTTTAGGCCCAGAGTTGTTTAGAGGACCAAGTGGGCTTCATAAAGTTAAACGTGCAGTCTCCTACAACCCTAGTTGTCCAGGACCTACCCAAGAGCGAGGCATCATTGGTACCCATAGCTACCCCCTAAGAGTCTTCACGGTCTAGGGTTTAGGGTTTAGGGTGTAGGGTCTGAACTTTCAGGATTTAGTTCTGTGCAAAGCAACACCAAGGTTTCCAGGTTCCATGTCAGCCCCTGTGCGAACCAAACGGAAATGTGTCGCGCAAAGCCCAGCACCCGAAGTCCCAAACACCCCTTACACCCCTTACACCCCTTACACCCCTTACACCCCTTACACCCCTTAAACCCCTTAAACCCCTTAAACCCCTTAAAGCCCTTAAACCCCTTAAACCCCTTAAACCCCTTAAACCCCTTAAACCCCTTAAACCCCTTAAACCCCTTAAACCCCTTAAACCCCTTAAACCCCTTCAACCCCTTAAACCCCTTAAACCCCTTAAACCCCTTAAACCTACAACCCCGAAACATCCCCAAGCCCTGAACCCTCAACATCCCTAAACCCTAAACCCTAAACCCTGAACCCTAAACCCCAACCGCCCTAACCAAAAGCCCTAAGCCTTCAGCCCTAAACCCTAAACCCAAAGCCCCGAACACCTGACCCCCCCAGAGGCGGACCCTCAGGCCTGCAGCTGCGTTTGCAATGGGGGTCCAGCTTGCTGGCCTCTTCTTGCCGTTTGGGGTTTGGGGTTTGGGGTTTACGGATGCTGAGGTTTAGGGCTTAGGGTTTTGAGTCGAAGGGTTTGCCAGTTGAGGGTTTTCTGGGTTTAGGGTGGTCGCTCGGAAATACAGGAACGAAAAAGGAGCCCTCTTTGTTTGGTGGGGGGGTTTAACGGGAACCGGACCACTAGAAAAAAGAGGGAACAGGAGGTACCGCCGTGCTCTTCCTTTCACCTCCATAACTAATCCGTTTTGACTTCTTCTTCATGATACGTATACATAGAGATATGTAATTCAATATGTATACATATATATATATATATATAGAGAGAGAGAGAGAGAGAATAGTGAATAAATAATATCGAGTATTCTACCCTAAGCCCTAAACCCTAAAGCCCTTCAACCCTAAACCATCGAGGATTTTATGGTACATCTTCCTTTGAGCAACCGGCCTCCCCTTCGCCAGGCTCAGCGCCGCCGCCGGGCCACGGCTCTCCAGACCCAGTTCCGCCAGCCTTGGGGGGGGGGGGGGGGGGGGGTTAGGGTTTAGGGTTTAGGGTTTAGGGTTTAGGGTTTAGGGTTTAGCGTTTAGGGTTTAGGGTTTAGGGTTTAGGGTTCAGGGTTTAGGGTTTAGAGTTTAGAGGTTTGGGGTTTAGGGTGTAGGGTTTGGGCTTTGCGGTTCTTAGGGATCGAATCAGAATAAAGCTGCTGTTGTCAGGGGCTTTATAAGGAGAAAGCTGCCGTTTTTCGGGGGGGTTGATAAGGAGAAAACTGCTGCTTTCGGAGTTAATAAGGATCTAAGGATAACTCTTCTGTTTCAGGGTTTTGGGGCTACGAGTGTTAGAGGATCCAGCTTCTAGGGCTTTAGGGATTCCATGGTTCGGGGTTTCAGCAGGGGGTGCTGCGACTTCCGACTTCGGGGAGAAGCTCTTCTTCGGTTCGCCTTGATTGGGAGTGAGGATTCAAGGCATAAGCGCCAGCGACCATTTTCTCAATGGCATCAAGGGTATGAGTCGACTTGCTGCTCTGCCTTCTGGACAGCAGGACAGTATGGCTGGGGAACTTGCTGGGACAAAGAGCAGTGCCGCGCGCCCGGAGGGGCTCTGCCACCGGCGAGGACTCGTCACTCTTCACATGTTCCCACTTCTCAAAACCCAACACCCTAAACCCCAAACCCCAAACCCTAAACCGTGCTAGCAGTAGTTGCCAGCCCGGTGGTCCCATGGCTCTGTCTGATCCCAGCCATGGTCAGACGGCCTTGACTCAACTGACGTTTGAGGGTCCAGTAGCCTTTGCCAACCTGTCAGGGTTTCGGGTTTAGGGGTTTAGGGGTTTAGGGGTTTAGGGGTTTAGGGGTTTAGGGGTTTAGGGGTTTAGGGGTTTAGGGGTTTAGGGGTTTAGGGGTTTAGGGTCTTCATGTTTAACACCTAAACAGTAGTACCATTTCAACTTGTTAAGGTGCTTGCGTTGGCAAAAGTGACATAGTCAAGGGAAGCTGCCTCTAGCAGGGTCACGGTCGCCGCTGGCCAACAAACAGCCCCAGCGATGGCTCTGCGAACCGGTTGCATCCCAATGAGCCCAAATTCGGGGTCAAGGGTTTAAAGTTATTGGATTCCAGCGCAACAGAAGGACGACATAGCACTACGAACTCAAACCCTAAACCGTAAACCCTCCTCTACCCCCCCCCCCCCCCCCCCCCCCCCCCCCCCGAAAAAAAGAGGAATCCTGAGGCCGTGGGCTTCAGCTTGCCCAAGTCTGCGAGGGAATGCTGGCAGAGGAACTGGAGTCCATCTGCGCTTGCCGTCACTTTGGTGAGGCTTCGGGTTTAGGCTTAAACCCTAAACCCTAAACCCTAAATCCTAAACCCTTTAGGTCTGTTTTTAAACCTCGAATAACCTTTTTTCGGGCGGAACGTCAGCGTTCTCCAGACGTGAAACATCGTAGGGCACCCCGGGTTCCGGGTTTCGGGTTTAGGAGCCTAAAGGGAAAGAGCATCATGCAATATCAAACCTTAGCAGCAAACCCTGGGATGGCAGGCTGCCGGGTTTTCTTTAAGGGTTTCAGGGTTGGCTGAGGTGGAGGGTGTAAGATTCAGATTGTGGCATTCAGGCAAGGCTCAATGCCCTGCAACCCTGAACCTCGCGTCTGGACCTCAGGGTTTAAGGTTTAGGGTTCAGGGTTTAGGGCCGAACAGCAGCCCTGAACCCGAACACAGGTCACGCAAACACATCCTGTCAGCGCCAGGGGTCCTGCAGCCCAAGCGCTACATTTCGAACCTACCACTCCCCAACAGCTCGAATCCTGTACGGAGGATGCTACTTTTTTGGAGGCGTCAGTTGAGGCCTTTGGGGGGCTATGGGGGGCTAAGGGTAAGGTAGTGCGACGCTGCGGTACGTAGATGCAGGGTTACAGGCAAGGTAGCCATGTATATACATGGTTCTATATAACCACCCAATTGCACCGTGCCATGTACCTCCAACCACGCTAAACCAAACAGCGCTGTAACTTGGGATGTTCCCCCTTATGCTAACAGTCCTCCTTAGGGATGATAGTGCCGCCTATTCTCATCCCTATTAAGGACTGTTAGTACAAGGGGGGGCATCCCAACCCTAAACCCTAAACCCTAAACCCTAAACCCTAAACCCCCCAAAGGGAGAACATCCCAAGCTGTTCCCTCTGAACCTGTGCAGGTCTGGGCCTTCGCTGAGAAGCACCACTGGGCTTTGGGGCCCTGCCTTGGCGACTGGCCCTCAGCCCTCAACCCGGGGGGGGGGGGGGTGGTTCTGTAGTGGAGGCTCCTAAGCCGGGTCTAGGGTTTACCCCCTGGGATCCTCCTTACCTACAGTTTTATGGGCCATACCTACTAATTAAGGGCAATTACTACTCAAATGCAGGAAAAAAGGTCCCAGGTATAGGGCCCTAAATGCAGAACCCTAAAGCCAACAGGATGGCTGCTGCCTGCGCAGGCAGATCCACCAATCATGGCCTAGGGAGTGAGAAAGCGTAGCTTGGGCAGTCGACGCCAGGAACTCTACAGGGGGGTTTAGGGTTTAGGGGTTAGGGTTTCAGGGTTTAGGGTTTCGGGGTTTAGGGTTTCGGGGTTCTGAGTGCACAAGTTTGGTACGGACTTGGCTCGTGTACTACTTCAACCCTGAATTTGCAACAGCCAAGCTGGTTTACATACTTGAACCCTAAACCCTAGACCCTAAACCCTAAACCCTAGACCCTAAACACGCTGAACCCTGGAAAAGCCCCGGGCAGCCACCATCACGGCTGCGGTGAGGCGGAAGCTGCAGCAAACTCGCCCTGCCGGGGCATGTAGGGCTCACCACATGGGTTGTTTGGGGTTTAGGGTTTAGGGCTTAGGGTTTAGGGTTCAAGGTTTAGGGTTTAGGGGTTTAGGATTTAGGGTTTAAGGTTTAGGGTTTCGGGTTTCCCCGAAATTTGTTCCCCAAATAATAGGAAACCCTGATAATAAGGACCCCATATCAGGTACCCCCAATGTCGGAAACCCCCCACATCAGCAATTTTTTGTGAGCAGGCCAGGGGGACAAGTGTTTTTGAGCTCTTCCAGGGTGCGGTTGGGGTTTTAAGCTGTAGGTTTTAGGTTTTTCGGTTTCTGGGTTTAGGGTTTTAGGGTTAGGGCTTTAGGGTTTGGGGTTTAGAGTTTTAGAGTTTAGGGTTCAGGGTCAGCTTAGCCAGCTTCCCTGTGCCCTGAACCTTGAAGCCTGGCGGAGAATCCAGGGCCTCACCCTAGATATCTTCAACCCTCATGGGCGGTTAGAGGAGGTGAAAGAATCTCAAAGCCTGTACATGATAGCCAGTTCTGACTTTAGCCATGACCCAGTCGGATGTCCCATGCAAGCCTCTAAGTAGGCCCAGACACCATTCCCAAGAGTCCGTTGTACACGCAGACCCTGCCAAAGCCCTCCCTTGTAACTACCCGCTAGTTTGCAAAGATCGCCATAAACCTAGCATCTACTTGAGGTAGGTGTAGGTGTGTGTGTGTGTGTGTAACAAGAAACAACCAAATAATCAAATCAATACATGAGTTTGCATATATACATATATACATATATATATATATACATACATACATATGCACACTATGCGTCAACCAACATGCCTGCGCCATATTGGTGAGTGTATAGATGGGGTGTCATTTTGGGGGCACTAGCAATCAAACCCCTATAATATATATATATATATATATATATATATATACATAGAGCCCTCCTTACAACTGCCACGTTCTTTCAGGTACAGGACTACAAACCCCATGTCAGGGGTATGTCTATATTGACATACGTACAAGTATATATATATATATATATGCATATATGTATATATATATATATATATATTAGATGCACGTGCGCCAACATACCGTACGCAATACACTGGAACAGCTTTGGGTTTGAAACTAGGTCGCAGTGGAAAACCACGTTTGGGAGAAAAACACGGTAGTGCCGTCATATGCAGCACACCGAAATAACCCTAAACCCTAAACCCTAAACCCTAGTTTCTCACAAGGCCGACCCGGCACAGCAGATAGCCCGAAGTACCCACAGAAAGGCCCCTGGTTGGCCGATTTGGCTTCAGGAACCAGCTCAAATGATTCTGCTTGAGATGAGGCAGACCTATAAGATAGCCTTCTGACTACCCCTAAACCCTAAACCCTCGCTAAACCCCAAACCTCAAACCCCAAACCCTAAACCCTAAACCCCATGAGCTTTCACGTAAACTCACATTGCAAGTGGCCTGCTGGCGCAGCGGGGGGCTCCGGAAGACCCAGCCAGGAGCAGTTGGCCCTGCACGCAACTTGGGTGGCTTAGGAAGAGGGGCTAAAAGAGGCCCGAGCCACACTTTTGAAAAAAACAACTGGCCCGTGCACACCCCAAACCCTGAACCCTAGTGGTTTTGGGGTTTGGGGGTTCTGACTTACAGCTGCCCATGGAGCTTCAAGAGGCTCGGGTAGGGCTTCTTCGGGGGAGCGAAATTGGGATTCGGCTTTTGGGGAGGAGGGCCATCTGGTTTAGGGATTCGGGGTATGAGGCATCCCAGACTTCATCTACAGCTGAACGCTACCGACCGATAAGCTGCGCAGCAGCGCGCTGGCCCTAGTTTGGCCACCTGAACCTGGCTGTAGCGGGGATAAGAAACCGGAAGAAGGTGGTGGTGTGCCACCCCTCCGCCCCCCAGTCCCCTCTGCCCCCTCTCCCCTAACCCTAAACCCGAAACCCTAACTAAACCCTAAATCCTAAATCCTAAATCCTAAACCCAAAACCCAAAACCCAAGACCCAAGACCCTAAACCCTAAACCCTAAACCCTAAACCCTAAACCCTAAACCCTAAACCCTAAACCCTAAACCCTAAACCCTAAACCCTAAACCCTAAACCCTAAACCCTAAACCCTAAACCCTAAACCCTAAACCCTAAACCCTAAACCCTAAACCCTAAACCCTAAACCCTAAACCCTAAACCCTAAACCCTAAACCCTAAACCCTAAACCCGAACAGAAATCCTGCAAGTTTGCCATCTACGCTGGGGGCCTCTTCAAGCCACGCTACATGGCGGTTTCTCTAAATTATGAACCCTTTTTGGGGGTGCCTCTGCTACAGTATACATAAACTACCCTGAGGCCCCCAAAAACTCTTCAGGCAACAAACATGTAAGAGGCCCAAAGCCAGCTGTAGCTACACTTACTGACTCATAATGCCCTACCGATAAGTACCCACCCTAAACCCTAAACCCCAAACCCCTAAGCCCTAAACCCTAAATCCTAAACCCCATGCAGCGCTAGCCACCAGCCTCGAACAACATTCGAGGCAAAGTGGTTGGTTTGGGCTTTGAGATTGAGCCAGTTCGACAAATCTGGGGGGGGCCTACTAAGATTGGAATGCACAGGCTCCTAAACCCTAAACCCTAAACCCTAAACCCTAAACCCAAAACCCAAAACCCAAAACCCAAAACCCAAAACCCAAAACCCTAAACCCTAAACCCTAAACCCTAAACCCCAACACCCTGCATTAAATGGGCCATGTAGGGCCTGGGTGCGAGCTCCACGCGGTGCAGGACGATGGGTGTGGAGCCAGGGCCTCTCGCGAAGTGCTGTGTTTAGGGTAAAAAAACCCTAAAGCTACTCTCTCTCTCTCTCTATATACATATATGTATGTAGAAAAATACCATGCTGCGCATGGTAGGCGTGGTTTTGACTGTCCTTGGCATGCTAGGAAATCTTGCTTGGCACATGGTAGGCTGGGTGTGTTGCAATGCTTTCTCTGCACTGAGGAAGTTGGGCGCCCAGAGGGTTACAACTGGGCATCCGGGTAAGCACGAACCTCCTAAACCCTGTAGTATACTGTCGATATTGGCTTGGGGTCTTCTACATAAAAAAGAGTGAAACTATGAAAACAGTGAACCTGCCAAACATCCATCACGCCTCAAAGCGCCAAACCTTCGACCCTGGCCTGGTTGGCCCAATGCCACAAGCACGCTTCCCTCACCTTGGGCATAGCGGGGGCTCGTTTGCAGGTTTAGGGTTTAGGGTTTAGGGTTTGGGGTTTGGGGTTTGGGGTTTGGGGTTTGGGGTTTGGGGTTTGGGGTTTGGGGTTTTGGGTTTGGGGTTTGGGGTTGAGGGTTTAGGGGGCTTGTTTGAGGTAGCACGCACCTTCGCGGCGCCTTGCATGAACCATGGCAACTTCGAGCGTGGAAGTTAAAACCGTGCCCGGGAAACCTGAGCGCAAGTCTCTTTTGCGGTTTGAAAGCTTACCGTCTGAAACACGCACCGCCAATCTCAACAGGAGCTTCCGAAGCACCTTACCACCCGAAGCGCTCCCCGAGCTTTCCATCCCCCGCTCCCTTAAATTCAGCCCTCAAACCCCACAGCCTCACACTCCAAAAAGCCCTAAACCCTAAACCCTAAACCCTTAAACCCTAAACAGATCGACCTCCACCTCCACGTCCGCTTCCTCGAAGCCTAGAAACCCTAAACCCGAACCTCTGCAGCCAAGTGCCCCGAACTCACCGCAAACCTTGATTTTAGGGTTTAGGGTTTAGGGTTTAGGGTTTAGGGTTTAGGGTTTAGGACGCCTCACATGCCTGAGCCCCCTAGATCCTCTATGGGCCTACTTGAAGGTTCATGGGCAGTGTCTTCCACAAGGTTACCCTACTCATGAACCAAGTAAGCCCCAATCCCTCAACCATCAAACCTTAAAACCCTAAATTCCCAAAACCCTACAAGTACACCCTAAACCACTAAAACCACTAAAACCCCTAAATCCCCTAAAACCCCTAAATCCCTAACTCCCCTAAAACCCTAAACCACTAAAACCCCTAAATCCCCTAAAACCCCTAAATCCCTAACTCCCCTAAAACCCTAAACCACTAAAACCCCTAAATCCCCTAAAACCCCTAAATCCCTAACTCCCCTAAAACCCTAAACCACTAAAACCCCTAAATCCCCTAAAACCCCTAAATCCCTAACTCCCCTAAAACCCTAAACCACTAAAACCCCTAAATCCCCTAAAACCCCTAAATCCCTAACTCCCCTAAAACCCTAAACCACTAAAACCCCTAAATCCCCTAAAACCCCTAAATCCCTAACTCCCCTAAATCCCCTCAAACCCCCCTAAATCCCCTAAAACCCTAAGCCACTAAACCCCCTAAAATCCCCTCAAACCCCCCCCTAAATCCCCTAAATCCCCTACATCCCCTAAATCCCCTAAAATCCCCTCAAACCCCCCTTAATCCCCTAAAACCCTACACCACTAAAACCCTAAACCACTAAATCTCCCAAAATCCCCTCAAAGCTGAAGCATCCTCAGGCCTTCCTCCTCTTTGCCCCAAAGCGGCCATTCAGTCCCCAGCCGTAATCTTACCGGGAGGTTCAGGGTTCAGGGTTTAGGGTTTAGGGTTTAGGGTTTAGGGTTTAGGGTTTAGGGTTTAGGGTTTAGGGTTTAGGGTTATCTTATTGGGAGGTTGAGGGTGTAGGGTCTAGGGTTTAGGGTTTCGTGTTGTTATAGACTGGGGCTACAAGTCTTAATGGTCACGCCTCTACTTGGGTTACCCATAAGAAACAGGGTTTGTGACTTCTCATGAACCCTGAAGCAGGAGTTATACGGGGGAATTTGGGGCTGCTGGCGCAAATGGGGACCTTTCAGGGCTCCCTTCTAGAACCTTAAACTGAGGCGGAAGAATGGATCCTTGCAATTCCTGCAAGATCCCCATATGGCTGTCCCTTTGCTACTACAGTTGGTGCGTATCATTGTTTACCTTCACTTTCCGAGAAACTACCATCATTTCTGCTATGGCGGTCCCTACATTCACTCACACACACACCACTACCTAAATCCTAACTCAATGCCACACTCTGGAAAAAACCAAAGCCCGTAAACCCCTAAACCCTAAAGCCAGAAACTTCTTAAACCCTACAAAGCCACTTCAACCCTACAAAAATTCCCTTAAACCCAAAATCCTTCAACCCTACAAAATTCCCTTAGACCCAAAATCCTTCAACCCTAAACCCTTAGACCCTAAACCCTCTTCTTCTTCTCGGCGCCAGGCCCAGGTCCCAAAGCCAAGCCGTGGGCCGCCCCAATGGCCAGAGCTGCCGATCCTCCTGGTAAAGTTTAGGGTGTAGGGTTTAGGGTTTAGGGTTTAGGGTTTAGGGTTTAGGGTTTAGGGTTTAGGGTTTAGGGTTTAGGGTTAGGGTTTAGGGTTGATATTGACATGCATATTAGGGTTCAGGACCTTTTGTGTCGTAATGTGTTCTAGCTAAAGCTGTGTTTTTTTTTTAATATCTTTGCTTGGTGGGGGAGGAGGCAGTAGATTTAAGGACACCCATATGCAATATTAGAACGGTCCGGTTCCAAGAATTGAATATATGGGCAAATCATACTCTGAGATGTGGGTCATCAATGTCGTGGTGGCTTGCACATATGTTGGAAGCTGCTTGGATCTGGACAGCATGCCAAACTGCAGCGTGCAAAGGCGGTTCTTTTGGTTGATCCCCTCATGTGGGACACGCATTCCGTAATCTGGCTCTTGTGATACCCGCCCCGAATTCCTACCAAGCGTCTGCACTAGCAACCCCCTAAACCTAAACCTTACTGCTTATAACCATGCAGGGCCCTCAAACTGCGGCTTCGAGGTCGAGGTTCAGGGGTAGGAGACGAACACTGGGGGATTCTTCTTTCTCGTCACATATCCTGCGGCTTCGAAATCGGCGAGTTTCAGTTTGAGGGCTAGGTGACAAAGGCTAGGGGGAATTTCTCTTTCTCGTCACATATCGCGCGGCAGGTGATGCTACGTCAGCCACACACTGCATCCCAGACCTGTCAAGCTGTCACGACAATTCTCATCCACATCCCTAAGCCCTAAGCCCTAAGCCCTAAGCCCTAAGCCCTTAGCCCTGAGCCCTATAAACCCTAAACCCCAAACCCTAAACCCGAAGTGGGACAAGAATCCTGAAGCCTAACCTCGAGCCTCACCACCAGCGCCCTTCGGACTACTTTCTCAGGTTCATGGGTGGTTACAAATTTTGGTTGTGAGCACCCCTCTATATCTATAGCTACCCTTGTGGTAGCCGGAGTTCCAACTACCCCAATACTTGCCCCAAAGTAGCCCCGAACCCTTCATCCCCCTGAAGCCCCAAAACCAAAATCCTGAACCCAAAACCCAAAACCCACGCCCTGAACCCGAAGCCTAAATACCTCGAACCAACAGCCCTTGACCCCTAAACCCAAATCCTGAACCAGGCCCCGGATGGTAGGGGCTATCGGTACTCAAAAACCCTACCTAAACCCTAAACCCTAAACCCGGAACCCCAAACCCGGAACACCAAACCCCAAGCCCTAACCCTTAACCCAAAACCCTAAACCTGAACCCTAAACACCAAGCCCTAAACCCTAAACCCTAAACCCTAAACCAGTAGGGGGAGGAATGATCCGTTCGCGCCTCGAGGCGCACAGCGCACAGCAGGTTCAGGTCGGGGCCAAAGCTGGCCTTGGGGTTTTCTTTCGAAGGCAAAAGGGCTTAAAAGGGTCTAAGGCCTAAGGATGTAAGTTTAAGGTTTAGGGTTTAGGGTTTAGGGTTTAGGGTTTAGGGTTTAGGGTTTAGGGTTTAGGGTTTAGGGTTTAGGGTTTAGGGTTTAGGGTTTAGGGTTTAGGGTTTAGGGAGGTGGAAGGGTGTAGGTTTAAAAACTTGAGGGCGAGCTCAAGATCTTTTAGGGCTTATTGGTTTCAAGCACGAAGGAATCAGGCTTTAGGCTTTAGGGTTTAGGGTTTAGTGTTTAGGAGAAAATTTGCATCGTAAACCCCCGACACTAAACCCCAAAAGCCCACCCAGAACAGCTTCAACACACCGTGAAAACGCTTATACAGCCCTAAACCCTAAACCCTAAGCCCTAAACCCTAAACCCTAAAACCTAAACCCTAAACCTTAAACCCTAAACCCCAAACCCCAAACCCTAAACCCCAAACCCTAAACCCCAAGCCCAAAGGCGAGCCGAGTGGCCAGGCACAGCTGGCGGCCGCCCGCCGCCCGGCGCTGGGCCATGCAGAGGGCTTCTTCCGGGTTTTAGGGTTTAGGGATTGGGGTTTAGGGTTTAGGGGTTTAGGGTTTACGGTTTAGGGTTTGGGGTTTAAGGGTTTTTAAGGGTCTAAAGGCTTGAGGGTGTTCAGGGTTTTAAGGATTTAGGGTTTTGGGCTTTTAAGGTGGGAGGTTTTGGGTTCTCGGGGTTGAGGGCTTGGGAGGTTTCAGGGTGTTGGGGGTCTTGGGGTTCAAAAGGCTTGGGGGTTAGGGTTTGGGGTTGTGTAGGGTTGGGGGTTGTTTAGGGCTTGTTTAGGGTTTGGGGCTTTGGGGTTTAGGGTTTAGGGTTTAGGGTTTAAGGCTTGGGTTTAGGGTTTAGGGTTTGGGGTTGTTTAGGGTTTGGGGTCTGGGGTCTAGGGTGTCGGGCCTAGGAGGGCTTTCAGGTTTGGGGTGTTGGCGGCTCCTGGGGAATCTAGGAAGCGTGGGGATGTTTCAGATCGAAAGCCCGAATGCCGAAAGCCCAACCTGCAACCCCAAGCTCCTGAAACCTCATGAGTGCTGTGGGTCCTAAACCCCTAAACCCCTAAACCCCTAAACCCCTAAACCCCTAAACCCCTAAACCCCTAAACCCCTAAACCCCTAAACCCCTAAACCCCTAACCCCTAAACCCCTAAACCCCTAAACCCCCCCTAAACCCCTAAACCCCTAAACCCCTAAACCCCTTAAACCCCTAAACCCCTAAACCCCTAAACCCCTAAACCCCTAAACCCCTAAACCCCTAAACCCCTAAACCCCTAAACCCCTAAACCCCTAAACCCCTAAACCCCTAAACCCCAAACCCCAAACCCTAAACCCTAGACCCCAGACCATAGGTTGGCTTCAGAGGTCTAACTTAAAGGTCCCGGACTCTTCCCTAAACCCTAAACCCTAAACCCTAAACCCTAAACCCTAAACCCTAAACCCTAAACCCTAAACCCTAAACCCTAAACCCTAAGCTTCAAACTTGAGGCGCCCGAACCCTAAACCGGGGGGACTAGGGGAGTCCTTGCATTGTAGGGTTTAGGGTTTAGGGTTTAGGGTTTAGGGTTTAGGGTTTAGGGTTTAGGGTTTAGGGTTTAGGGTTTAGGGTTTAGGGTTTAGGGACTAGGGGAGTCGGAGGAACTGCCTACTCAGCACCGGAGGTGTGGGGCTAGGGAAGGGCAGGCAATGGACTTAAAAAGCCCGAAAAGGGGTGTCAGGTTCAGGGGTATACTGTACTTAAGCGGCGAATTGAACCCGAGCCGAAAACCCTAAAGCCTAAACAATTTCACCCTGAACCAAAGAAAGCAATACCTGGACCCTCCCCCAAAACCCTGAACCCTAAACCCTAAACCCCTAACCCTAAACCCTAAACCCTAAACCCTAAACAATTCACCCAAGAGGGACGCCTGGAGGAGGGCCAGGATGGAGGGCTTGGGTGCCGGCATGAAGCTGAGGGCCAGAACCTCGTTTGGGTTTAGGGTTTAGGGTTTAGGGTTTGGGGTTTAGGGTTTAGGTTTCAGGCTCCAAAGGACTTCGCGACGTCAGGTGTCAGAGCGATACAGTAGCCAAGAGCCCAACCTCGTAAAGGCCCTGTCTCCCTTAGTTCCCTGAACTCCCTAGCTGCGAAAACCCTAGCCTTTCAACTCCCTAAACTCTCCGCCTGCCCCCCAGACCGTAAACTTTGGGCCTAAACCTCGGTTCGAGTTGTTTAGTCCAATCGTCATTGCGCAAGCTTAAGCCCTACAACAAAAACCCTCAACCGCAAACCCTAAAGCCTTAACCCTAAACCCTAAACCCTAAACCCTAAACCCTAAACCCTAAACCCCACACCCGGAAACCTCAAACCCTAAACTGCGAAGTCTGGCCTCACCATGGGCCGATGCACTCCGCAAGACGCTGTGTCGTGCCCCGTCCTGCAGCCAGTTTAAGGTTGGGGCTTTTGGCATTGTAACCCTAAACCCTAAACCCTGATTAATTAAGCACTCTGCCTTGACTCACTGCTGGGCTAATTTGGGGCGATTTCCGAAAATAAGGGACCCCGAATATAGACCCCCAAATAGTCGGATTCCCTTATAAGAAGGACCCCGGTAAGGTAGAGTACCCCTAATTTCGGAGACCCCCATTTAAGGTCTACCTGGGTAGGTAGAAACTGGATTTGAATGAGGGGGAACCGAAGTCATGGTTGGCTCTACGCTGGGTACTTTTGACCCATCCATAGGCTTTCTCTGGACCTTCGAGCAGCCTAAACCCTAAACCCTGAACCCTAAACCCTGAACCCTAAACCCTAAACCCTAAACCCTAAACCCTAAACCCTGATCATTCTACCTTGGTTTACATCATCCCGATGAAGATTCAACGCTTCCTCTAGCACCCGGGAGTTTCCTCAACTCAGCTTAAGACCCCTTCTGTTTAGACGACTATGCGTATGCCTTATTTAGGAAGCAGCTCACGGAGGAACCGCTTGGCGCGTCGGGTTTGGGGGGTTTCGGATTTAGGGTTTGAGGGAGTTCGGGGGGGCGGAGGGCTTGCGGGAGCTTAGTTCCCTAAACCCTAAACCCTAAACCCTAAACCCTAAACTCTAAACTCCTAAACCCTAAACCCTATACCCTGAACCGTAAACCCTAAGCCCTAAACCCTACGGAGCCTTCGTCAACTTCGCCTCCACAGGACCCAGGCCTTCGTGGAAGGGGATGGAGTTCGGGGAACCCATGTGTGGCACCCTTTAGCCTGACACCCGTAGAGGGTTTAGGGTTTAGGGTTTAGGGTAGAGGGTATAGGGTACAGGGTTTAGGGTTTAGGGGTATGCAGACCCAGATTTTCCGGGCGACGGCTCCTCATTTAGGTACAAACAAGACCATTGCTTTGGGCAGGCAAGGTTTCCAAGACCTTTCGAGCTCTTTTGGGGCGTGTGCGCCAATGCCCGGGGCTTCCAACAAGAAGATTCAGGCCACATTGCAAAACCCCTTATGCCAAAAAACCCTAAACTCAAAAGAAAAACTAAAAAAAACAACACCTAAATAACCCCCCCCTGGCAAACAATCGGATCCTTAAAAAATGGCGGCCCTATGCTACCGAGTAGCATGTGCCCTTCTCACCATGGACCAGAGCCAGCACAGACGTCGGTGAGCAGCTACAGGCCTAAAGCTCCAGAAGCACTTGTGACTGTAACCTGTGTTTAGGGTTTATAGGGTATAGGGTTTCGGGTTTAGGGTTTAGTCAGGGAAGGCTTGGATATTTCGGGTGTAGGGCCTCGGAGGATTCGAATCTGTTCTGTAAGCTATTGATGGATAGTTCGGGTACAATACCCATAGAAACTAGAAGCCCGTACCCACCCACTGTAGGTTAGTATTGCTACAAGATAGAGTTGAGGCTTTGTGTGGAGGGCGGTTCCACCTTTGATGTGGCGAAGTCTGCACGCCAAAGCTCTAAACCCTGAACCCTAAACCCGGTAAACCCTGAACCCTTGAACCTAAACCCTTAGGGGGGGGGGGGGGGCGGAACATCCTGAGTTCTTAAGACGCGCAAGGCCCGAACCCGTAAGCCTCTCATTTTGGGCTTGGGGTTTCCAAAGAAATTCTCGCGCCCTGGCAACCCCAGAGCCCCAAACTCAAGGCCCTCGAAAGTGGGTTTAGGGTTTCGGGTTTACCCTAAGCCCTAAACCCTAAACCCTAGACCCTTAAACCCCTGAACCCTTAAACCCCTAAACCCCTAAACCCCTAAACCCCTAAACCCCTAAACCCCTAAACCCCTAAACCCCTAAGCCCCTAAACCCCCAACCCTAAACCCCTAAACCCCTAACCCTAATCCCTAAACCCCTAACCCTAAACCCTAAACCCCTAACCCTAAACCCCTAAAGCTTTAGGGTGGGAGCAAAGCCAGGAGTCGGGCTACCCCAAGATGTGAGGACAGCAGCGGCCTCCGTTGGGAAGAGGCCGGCTTTCAGGTGAGTTCAGGGTTTAGGGTTTAGGGTTTAGGGGTTAGGGGTCAGGGTTTAGGGTCTAGGGGTTAGGGCTTGGGCTTGGGCTTCTTATAGCTTTGTTTTCGCTACACCCCAGATTGTGGAGGTTCCGGCCGTTGGACTCCTTTTGGTTTGTTTTGAGCTAAAGCCTCCTTTGGGGTCCGTGTTTACGGTGTCTACTCCTTATAAAACCTGATTCCTTGGGGAAAGGGTTTCAGCTGAAGGTCGCGCTCTCGCGATCGTTTTTGCTAATCGGCTGTGTGCTAAGTTTGCAATGCTCAAGGTCCCACCAGCTATGCAGAAATACGTCCAGACCCTTAATTAAAGAACCTACTTCAAAGCCTACAGGGTTAAGCTGGTCATATTTCAAACGCTCTCTTGCCTTTGCAGTGTGCGCGCTTTCGTGCTCAAGAGAGCTGTGGTTAATGTATGTGGTTTGGCCGCTTTGCTGCTCCCTGAAAATCTGGGGGAAGGGAGTTTTCGTGAAAAGGGTTCACAAGAGACTAGACACGCTGCGTTTTTGTTCCTCTGCCGCAAAAACCAACTGTTTCCCTGTGGCCAAAGCGTTAGCACGCTCGTTGTATTGGTCCCCTGTATGTACTTGTTGCGCCCAACTGGAAACCTGGATCCGGCCAAGATGCCCCTCTTGGCTACAACTTGAAGCTTACATGGTTTAGGGTTTAGGGGCTTAGGGTTTAGGGGCTTGCATGCCAGACTTCTGTAGCCGTTGCACAAGCAGGCGGCAAAGACGGTAGGTACACTTTTTGAATACCCGCTGAGCCCTGAATCCTACGACCTTTGCAATGCCAACCCTGCAGCCCTCAATGCCCCATAAGCCCCGTAAACCTTATACACCCTGAATCCTAAACCCTAAGCCCTGAACCCGAACCCTAAACCATAAAACCTGTACCCTAAACCCTATACGCCCTATGGCCTACACCCTAAACCCTAAACCCTAAACCCTAAACCCTAAACCCTAAACCCTAAACCCTAAACCCTAAACCCTAAACCCGCAGCCCAGGTGCTCCAACTCCCAGGAGGGCGGGCGCAGCAGGAAGCCCTCCAGGCGCGTTGGGGGTTCTGGGGGGCTTGAGATTGAGAGCGTCGGGTGCTGGATCTGTTGTTGGTTCGAATGTAGAAACTAGGGTTCAGGGTTTAGGGTAGAAAATCCAAACCCAGTTTGCACCAGATTCGGCGAGAAGAGTTGGCCACGACAGGGGTCGGGAACAAACGGCCACACCACCTGCCACCTCACGACAACTATCTGTCCAAAGAGCCAGGGATTGCTCTCTTTTGAGAGGGTGCCACAAGCTTAGACTAACCTGGAGCTCTACGTCATCAAGCCTCAACCCCCCAAAGGTTCAACCCCCAAAACCCTCAACCTAAACCCAAAACCCTAAACCCCAAAGTCCTAAAACCGCACCTTAGACACTAAGCCCCCCAAAGCCCAGAACCCAAGCACCTCGCCACTTGCCGCCCGCGCGGCAGCACCGTGGCCCAAGCCCAGGAGTCGAATCCTTGAGTTTAGGGTTTAGAGTTTTAGGGTTTTAGGGTTTTAGGGTTTTAGGTTTTTAGGGTTGTAGGGTTTTAGGGTATTAGGGTTTTAGGGTATTAGGGTTTTAGGGTTTAGGCCGCACAGTTGTGTGGTTCCGGCCATCTGGAAGCCGGGATATCTGGCGTTGGCCCGGAACACTTCTCCCACTGCGCTTCATGGATTTGTTGGCTAAAGGGTGATCAGCTTCCAAGTTGGCTTAGGGTTTGCAAGCTTTAGGGTCTATAGGGTTAGGTGATCAGTTCCATGAAAGGTTGAGAGGTTTAGGGGCCTTGGGTGATCAGTTGCGCTAGTTCTGGGAGGCAGGGCAGAAATGAGGGCATGAGTTATGAGTCCGCAAGGGGTTGCTGAGGGAGAGCATGTGAGGTATTTGACTCCCAACTTATGCCCCCCCCCTCTCATTAGGGGCTTTAATAATGAGAATGGTGTTGTTTGCTGGTGGGGATATTTTGTTTAGTTATATGGGGACAATAAGGGAATAAGATTCGCAAGTATTCGACCCCTATGTTATTCCACCCACCCCCCCCCCCCCCCCCCCCCCCCCCCCCCGAATCTGTTTTTTCGAAGGGGGGACTGCAACTTAAAGAGCTAGCCAGCTCCAGAAAGTTGCTCGGACAAATGACCCTCCTAAACCCGAAACCCGAAACCCTAAATCCTAAACCCCAAAGCACTGAACCCCAAACCCTAAACCCTAAACCACAAAGCCTGAAGCCATCACCCTAAACCCTAACCCTTAAACCCTGAACCCCAAACCCTATAAACCCCAGAGCCTGAAGCCATCACACTAAACCGTAAGCCCTAAACCCTAAACCCTAAACCCTAAACCCTAAAACCCTAAACCCTAAACCCTAAAACCCTAAACCCTAAACCCTAAACCCCAAACCCTCACTCCCACATGTGGCTCCGCCGAGGTGCGGCCGTCTTGCCAACCGCCAGGCGCGCTGGAGCTCCAGGCCTGCCATCGGGTTTAGGGTTTAGGGTTTAGGGTTTAGGGTTTAGGGTCTAGGGTTTGGGGTTTGGGGTTTGGGGTTTGGGGTTTGGGGTGAGCCCTGTCTTCACAAGGCTTTTTGGGATCCTGGGGTTTGGAGTTTAGGTTTTCGGGCTTGAGGGTGTCGGGTTTAGGGCTTAGGGATTCTTTGTGAGTCGTCGGGTCTTCGTAGTCCCCCCTTGCCCCTGTCACAGGGGCCATAAGCCCTAAAACAAACCTAAGCCTAGAACCCTCAAACCCTGTAAACCCTTAAAATCGAAGCCCTAAAACTTACAACACTTGGTCCGAGGGCGCCTGTGTCCTGCCAGAAACTCCAAGACCCCTTGGGACCAATCCTTCCCAAGGGTCCCGAGCGTAGTTTAGGAATGCTGGCAACTCTCAAGTTCGACCCCAAAAATCTGTCATTGACCCCAAAATCCCAGTAAACTGTGTACCCTATGAAGCTTGCAAACCATAAACAACTCCAACATCCAAAAACATCTACAAACCCTAAACCCCTACAGAAACCTCAAAAACCCTGAGCCCCATGAAATCTACAAAGCCCTACTTCAAAGACCCTAAACCCAATTACAATCATCGGCTCCCCTACTACCCCCCTCTACACTACCCCCCCTAGGCTCCCTACAAAAAAAGGCTATGTAGGGAGACTAAAGCCTATTAAGGTTATTCAAAGGGGGGGGAGCCTAGGGGGGGGGGGGGGGTAGTATAGAGGGGGGTAGTAGGGGAGCCCATGATAACCCTAAACCCTAACCCCAAACCCCAAACCCCAAACCTAAACCCTAAACCCTAAACCCTAAACCCTAAACCCTAAACCCTAACCCCTAACCCCTAAACCCTAAACCCTAAACCCTAAACCCAATTACAAGGGGCAATTTGGGCCTGAGCCCCCGGAGCGCAGCAGCAGCAGGTGCCCGTCGGCGCTGCCCGCCAACAGGGACCAGGCTCCTCGGGGAAATTTTGAAGCCCCCAAGGGGCCCTGTAAGCCCTGTACGCACTGCAGCGTTTAGGGTTTCGGGTTTAGGGTAAAAGGTTTAAAGGTTTAAAAGTTAAAAGATTAAAAGGTTTCAAGGTTTCAAGGTTTCAAGGTTTAAAGGTTGAAAGGTTAAGAGGTTAGAAGGTTTGAAGGTTGAAAGGTTGAAAGGTTTAAAGGTTTAAAGGTTTTGCAGGTTAAAAGGCTTGAAGGTTTAGAGGTTTAAAAGGTAGAGGGTTTAGGGTTGAGGGTTTTTGCAAGATCAGGAGTGGTTCCAAAACCCCTTAATTAAGCAACATACCTTAAATTATAGTAGTAACCCTAATATGATTTAAGGCATATTCCTTAAGTAAGGGGTTTTGGAGTCTCTGGGGAGCGGTTCCAAAGGGAGGAGTGCACGGTCGAGAGGGTTGAAGCTAGAGGGAGAATGTAGTTAGTGGAGGTGGCGGGGAGGGGGAGGATATCTGCCTTGAAGATTCTAAACTCAGTTTCAGACTGAACCCTAAACCCTAAATCCTAACCCCTAAACCTTGAACCCTATACCCTGAACCCAGCCTACACCTGGCCTTCGAGTCCCTAGGCTTAAGATTCCCCCTCCAAGCCTGTTTTGTTGTGGCCAGGGGGTGGGTTCTAGAAGGGTCCCACAGACGCTATTTATAGGATTCGTCGCCTACAAAGAAAACGAGACCTCCGTTTTTTCCCCACTCGGTGTGGGGGCTGGTAGATTTTGAGCTCAACTCTTCTCCTCGCCCGGTCTACTCCTCGCTCATCCCTGGCCAACCCCAGAGTGTCCCTGAGTGCCAAACCCCAGAGTGTGCCTGGAGTGCCCAACCCCAGAGTGCCTGGAGTGCCCGACCCCAGAGTGTTCATGAATCGCCCAACCCCAGAGTGTCCCGGGAGTGCCCGAGCCCAGAGTATCTCTACCCAGAGAGGGTGGGGATGCTCCAAGTAAAACTATTTTTTGGTTTTTGAGGGGGTTTCTGGGTTCAGCGTTCAGGGGGTTGACTTGAAGTTTCATGATGGGAAACCTCAAGTCTCGCCAGGTTACAAGCCCCCACCCCCCCCCCCCCCCCCCCCCCCCCCCCCCCCCCGCCCCAGGAAAAAAGGAGGAGGCGATAGCTGTAGAGTCTCCAGCTCTGCCAATGAAACTCCAAAACAACTTACGGTTTAGGGTTCCTCTGCGTGCAGAACTGGGTTGTGAACCCACGTGACTCTTGGATTTGAGCCCTGGACTTCAAGTTTCTGGTTTTGGGGTTCGTGTGGGTGCTCAGGGCACACGCCAAAAAACCCAAAAGGGTTTAGGGTTTAGGGTTTAGGGCTTAGGGCTTAGGGTTTAGGGCGTAGGGCTTAGGCCTCATTGACACATCTGCACATCGATTCGGATCTCGGTATGGTAGCCTCCCAGAGACTCCAAAACTCCTTAATTAAGCAATATACCTTAAATTATAGTAGGAACCCTAATATGATTTAAGGTCTATTCCTTAGTTAAGGGGTTTTGGAGTCTCTGGGCTTAAGCCGCTCCTACGAACTTTGGGCTTTTCTGCGTAATATTTTAACTTGATCTGGCCTGTTAACCATAAACCCAAAATCAAAACGAAACTCAAAAATCCCAAAACCCCAAAGCCCAGAAGTTCCAAACAGAACTCACAAACCCAAAACACTCCGAAAACCCCAAAGCCCCAAAGAGCCCAAAACATCAAAAACCTAAAAAAAACTCCAAACAATCAAAAACCCCAAAACTCCAACAGTTCAAACACCCCAAAAACGTAAATCCAAACAACCCTAAACCCTAAACCCTAAACCCGAAACCCTAAACCCTAAACTGTCGGGCCTCCGGCTCTCTCCGCGGAGTCGGGGGCGCTGGCATCGGGAATGGGATGCCTCAGTCACAGGATCTAGACCCTAGACCCTAAACCCTAAACCTCGAGGATGAGGATTTAGGCTGGCCACAATTGGACCTTTTAAGGTTTAGGGTTTAGGGTTTAGGGTTTAGGGTTTGGGGTTTAGGGTTTAGGGTTTAGGGTTTAGGGTTTAGGGTTTAGGGTTTAGGGCGTGCTCTGAGGCCAGGCGGAACTCTTATTTGGGTGGTTTCCTTGACGCCCTGCGGAGAGCCAGCCTCGAGCTGCAAGGAGGGATTACAAACCCTAAACTTCTAAGCCCTCGGCTGTATGAAGGGTTTAGGGTTTAGGGTTTAGGGTTTAGGGTTTAGGGTTTACCCTAAACCGAAAGTTCAGGGTTTGAAAAGTGTCGAGTTGGGGGTCCATGTTTTTCCGGCCGGATCGCTATTGGATTTTTGTTTCTTTGGGTGGGGGGGGGGAAGGGGGGAAGGGGGGGAAGAGGGCCGGAACCAGACCAGGAGGGGGGGGGGGGGGCGGAATGCGGGGCGGGTTCATTTAATATTTGGGATGGGGATGCGAGGCAGGTGAATTTAGTATTGGGATGGAGGGGGGGGGGGGGGGGAAGCTCGTTGGCAATACCCTACGTAACTTGCGTAACTTGTAACTGCTCATAGGCCCTCACCCGTGACCCCGTGACCTCCCAGTTCTCAACTCAAAACCTATAAACCTGCAAACAGGCTTAAGAGGGTTGCTTGGCTGCACTTAGGGGATTTTTAGCTGGCTTCTTAAGAAACCCACTAAACCCAAAAAGGCTAAAGATGTAAAGTTACAGTACAGCACCACAAAGAAGAGGGCTGTAAGACTTGAGTGGTTTACTTCCAAGCTTCCCGGCAGAGAGAGGAGGCAGCTGGACAAGTCGTGGCGGTAGTGGCACACCTCCTGCTTGCTGTAAGGCTAGCAATTGCTTAAGAACCTCAAAGAATAGAAAAATGTTCTTCCTTATAAAGGTAATATATGGATTCTTATTCTTGTATTGTTTTGAATTGCTTAAGAACCTCAAAAAATAGAAAAATATTCTTCCTTATAAGGGTAATATAGGGATTCTTATTCTTTGTATTGTTTTGGGGTTCTTAAGCAAATACAGTAGTAGAAGGTGTACGGGCTCCTTGAGTGCCCTCAGCCCATCTAGGCCCTGAACCCCTAAAATTTCGTGCATGCACGTAGGGTTTAGGGTTTAGGGTTTAGGGTTTAGGGTTTAGGGTTTAGGGTTTAGGGCGTAGGCCCCGCAAAGTCCCAGAGACATTCCACATGAGGATCTTGCATGTATGGCTGCGCGAGATGACTGAAACAGACGATTGCGCGGTGGTGTGCAGACAGTCCTGCAAATCCTCCGCATCCAAGACCACAATCTCCTCGATGGGCTTAAGGGGTGTCAGTCTCCCTCTTGCTCTCTCTCTCTCTCTCTTTTCTGTTTTTTTTTGGGGGGGGGCTTAGGGCTTAGGGTGCAAGGCCATGGGCCAACATTGCACCATGTCTGTTTGGGTGTTCTTCTCGCTGCTTTTTGCGTGGGCCTGCTTCCGGCAAGCATTTCTGCGTGTAACATCAGCTCACATACTTCAGCCTCTTCAAAGGCGCGCGTGCGAGCTAAGCTGCCACATGCATATAAACCCCTAACTCCTCAAGCTTCTTAGCCAGAAAGCCGTCGACCACGAGGTCTACTCGTCGCCCTCTACGGATCGTCATGAGTATACCAGGGCCCCTCTCCAGCAGATGCCATGAATATCCGAGAAGGGCACCCTGCAGTCTAAACCCAAATCCCAGCTTATAAGACTTATCAAGGCAGGGCCCTGGACCCTGGAACGCCGAAAAGAAGGCTTACGCGATCCTGTCAGCAACGCATGCAGCAAAAATCGTCATCGGCAACGCACAACAATCGAGCTTTTGCACATAAACAAGACAAAGCCGGAAGGGTGAACCAAAACAAACCAGTCAGTCAGAAACCAAGAAAAGCGAAAACAGCAGCTATGCCTAAACTTCAGGCAACGCGCGCAGTCCTTACCAACGACATCAAAGCAGGTAGAAGCAGGTAAAAAGAAGGGGTGCCGGTCGGTTTCCAGACATATCGCCAGCCGCAAGGATGAAGAGTTCTTGGCTGGGGCTTAGGGTTTAAGGAGGCCAAAGAAACCCTACCGACATCCGACTTTTACGGCCTCAGCTGCATCAAGCTTGAATTCCCCGAGCCCAGGCAACCGCCAGGTTGGGAGCATTTCTTGGCGTGATGGAGTTTAGGGTATTATCTCGAGCTTGTAAACCGCCATGATACCATAAAACAAGGGAACGCGCTACTGGGCATCCTGAAAAAGGGACCTCTAAACCTTAAACCCTTAAATTACCACCCTCTAACCATCGAAGTCAACCCCATAAACCTCGCCAGCTTTCTAAACCCTTAAAGCCAGAAACGCAACGAGGATACCACAAGTATTGTATGTAAGCTCCGCACGGCCAGGGTCCACAGGGACGCGATGAGAAGTTGCCTGAAAGAGGTCCGGAAGAGTCTCCAGGTTTTAGGGGTGAAGGGGTTTGGGGGTTTCGGGGTTCAGGGATGTCGGGGGCGTAGGGGGGCTTGACTGCCTCCCCAGTACTCGGGCCCACGGGGAGGCTGAGGGTGGAAATGAGAGATCCCTAGACCTCGACCCTGAAACGCTCTGCGCCGAAACCCCATACCCTAAACCCTGAACCCCTAGACCCTAAACCCCAACACGTACACAAAACCCTGAACCCGGAACCCCGCCCCCCCCCCCCCAAAAAAAAAAAAAAAAACCTTGCAACTCCATAACCTCCTGAGACCCCGAAGCCCCGAAGCTAGGACCTGAAACACCTAAAGCCCCTAAAAACCCTAAAGCCCCAGTAACAGTAACAGCCCTATAGAAGCCCTGAAAAACCTCCCTAAAAGGTCTTAAAACAACCTTCAAAACCCAGCAAAACAACCAAAAACACCCTAAAACTCTGCTTACAAACCCTCAACTCATTCAACAGCCCCACCCCCCTCCCGCCACCAAATAAAAGAAACAACTTAACAACCCTCATCAAAAAAAACTGAACCCACCCAGAAAAAAGACCGCCTCACACGACCGCCGGGCGCATCAATGCAAGACAGGGCCGCGACCTCCCACAGAACCAAAGAAACGCCCGAAAAACTCTCCTCTCCCCAAAAGTACCCGCCCTCCCGACTGAAGTGGGGCAAGTTAAAGTTTAGGGGTTTAGGGTTTGGGGTTTCGGGTTAGGGTGTCGGGTTTATTTGCTGTAGGGTTAAGGGCGTATGATTGAAGGGATTCATGGTACCCTAAACGGTGCAAGGCCACCTACTCGTCACGCTAAACACGAAACCGTAATCCCTGAACCCTAAACCCGAAACCCTTAACCCTAATCCTTAAATACCCTAAACCCTAAACCCTAAACCCTAATCCTAAACCCTAAACCCTCAACCCATGAAATGCTCCGCTGCCCTGGCCTGCTGGGTGAAAGCCTTTGCCCCCCGCGGCTGCACGCGTAGCTGGCGGCCCTGGCGGGTGACCTGACGGCCCAAAAGCCGAGTTCTACAAAAGTGACCCAAAAAAGCCCTAAACCCTAAACCCTAAATCCTAAACCCTAAGCCCGTGGGGCTTGTGCCTTGGAAGTTTTTCTACAAAAGTGATCAGAAACCCGAAGCCCGTGGGGCTTGCAATTTGCAAGAGTTTGGGTAGACCTCGGAAGGCTACAGGCTATGACGTCGGTGTGAGTTCATAGCATCATGCTGAGTTCGCGCGTGTCACACCGCTGGATACGAACTCACGCTGACCACGCGGTGGTCTTCAGCAAGCCTCGCGGATTCAATGAGGTTCTATGTAAATTACGTTCTAAACGCAGCTGCCCTCAGCACGCTGGGGAGAACTCATAAGACTTGTAGGCTGCCGAGCTTACAGTTTCAGACGTTGTTCAACGTTTAGAATTCAGAGTAGCAACTTGAGGATGTGCCTACGTTAACCGGAGATGCGATTGCATCTGAGATCTAAAACCTTTCGACACCGCGCAGCCCTGTTCCACGCACCTGAAATGAGTCCGCATGTTGCTCTGCATGGGTCGTCTGCGCTGCATAGGCTGCCAGGACGTTCTGTCTGCTACAGCAATGACTTCCATCGTTCAAGAAAACCTAGTTCAACAAGCAGTGGCGCGGCGCCATATGTGATCAGAAAGTGTGCTGCAACCCTGGCATCGAATTACACGAAGGCGGCGGAATAGGTTGATAATTGTTTGTCGGCGACCTCGCTGTACATGATCTGACACTCCTTTAGTTCCTGGGGTGTTCCTACTGGTAGGACCTAAGCCCAAAAGCACCTTAATTCTCAACCCATTGAAAAAGAGTGCAGGTTCAGAAATACTGGCGGGTGTGGGTTGTTAAGAGTACAAGCACTGACGTGCTCACTCGGCATGTGGTCCCCCCGCCCCCCCCACCCTCGCCGCCCCCTGCCTTACCGCCACTCCCGCACTCCCCCCCACTCCCCCTATACTCCCCCTTCCCTCCACTTTGAACCTGAAGCGTAGTCACAGGACACGCCGTCATCTAAAACCACGTAAGCTGTTAGGTGATCGAACTCCTCTGCACCCTCGTGAAATTAAGGCTTAGGCTTGCGGATTCGTCCATCATGAGTCTTGCGAGGGTGGGCATCTGAGCGTTTACATGCCTTAGGCTGCAGCTCAGCACTCCCGAAACGTTTAGGGAAGCTTGTGTCGGGTCTAGGGCCCAGCCTAGAAATCAGCCACCGCCCCCTGCCCCCCCCCCCCCCCCCCCCCCCAAAAAAAAAAGGGACCCCTCAACCTACCTAATAGAGGGGGCTTACCTATTTGTGTGTACATATATTATATGATGATTCTATTCTTACACCTTAAGCCGTCCTGAGAGTGGGGATCTAGGGACACAAGAATAGGGACACAAAGAATGGTTGTACAGGGCGGTTGGGCTACTTCCAGATCCCTCCCCCCCCTTCCCCCCGACGGTTTAGGGTTTAGGGTTTAGGGTTTAGGCTGGGTGAATACATCAAGGGGCCTGGGAACCAAAACCCTCCTGCCTCCCTGCTTTGGCCCTAAACCCCTGAAGCCCAATCCGGCCAGTACCCATTCCTCGAGGGTTTGGGGTTTAGGGTTTCGGGGAACCTGCAGTCGCCCCCCCCCCCCCCCCCCCCCCAAAAAAAAAAACAAAAAAGAAAACATGCATTCAGTTCGCACTTTGGCCCTAAACCCTAAGCCCTAGACCCTAACACCCCCAAACCCCTAAACCCATTCCTGTTGTACGCCACCAAGACGAGCTGCAAGTCAACCCCGAAAACGCCGAAGCCCTGAAACCCGAAACCCTTACTCCCTAAACCCTCGAATCCTAGCAAGCCCTCGAATCCTAAAGGCCTGCAACCCTAAAGCCCTAAACCCCATGAAGCCCTGAACCCCAAACCCCAAGCCCTAAACCCTAAACCCCCAAACCCTAAAAACAAAACACCCTAAACTTTACACCCTAAACCCTCAACCCTAAACCCCCAAACCCTAAAACCATAAAACCCTAAACTTTACACCCTAAACCCTAAACCCCAAATCCTAAACTCTAAACCCTAAACCCTAGAAGCCTCCTTCTTCAGCAGCGCCGGCCCGGCGCTGGTGAAGAGCCAGAGCTCTCCGCGGCAGCCTGCCAGTTGCAGCTTTCGGGTTTTATCATAGGGTTTAGGGTTTAGGGTTTAGGGTTTAGGGTTTAAGGTTTAGGATTTGGGGGGTGGAGGGGGGGAGCTTTTTAGGGCTTAGGGTTGAAGGCTTGCAGGGTTTATGGGGTTTAAGGGTAGGGGTTTCTTGGATTAGGGCTAAGGGGCTTGAGGGCCTTCAGGCTTAGGACTTTTCACGTCTTCAGCGTCTCGAGCTCAAGGGCTGTTGAGCGCTTGGGGTCGAAGTAGGGGCACCCTAAACCCTAAACCCTAAACCCTAAACCCTAAACCCTAAACCCTAAACCCTAAACCCTAAACCCTTAACCCTTAACCCTTAACCTTTAAACCCTAAACCCTGAACCCTAAACCCTAAACCCCCCCTCAAATCAAATCCCAACCCGCCCTTCGTGCCTGTGCAGGAGGCCGCGTGGCTGCAGAAGGGATGGATCGGCTCGGAGTGAAGCCTCAGACTCGTGGGCTTCATAGGGGGGGGGGGGTATAGGGTTTAGGGTTTAGGGTTTAGGGTTTAGGGTTGCGGGTTTCGGGTTTTAGGGGGTAGGGTTTAGGGTTTTAGGGTTTTAGTGTTTTTGGGTTGGGTTTTAGGGTTTTAGGGTTTAGGGTTTAGGGTTTTAGGGTGTAGGGTTTAGGGTTTTAGGGTTATAGGGTTTAGGGGTTGGACCCTGTGAGGGTTGAGGGCTCGGGCGTTAGGGCTTGAGGAGGACGAGGTTTTGAGGAGGTTTCATTAAGGGCTCAGATGGAGGTTTAGGGCTCAGGGTTTAATGTCGGTTTCGGACGTTCGGGTACAGGTTTCAGGTAAGGGTTAAGGGCTCCGGGCTTAGGAAGTTAGCTTTGTAGAGCCTAAACATCGAACCTTACAGTACACTCCAAAAAGTTCGAAACTCCTTATGCCCATACCCCAAAAGGTATACCAATGGGAGCCCCAGCTCGAATCATCCTTATGCCATGTTCCAACTTTCTGGAGTTTACTGTAAACCCTAGACATCATAATAGTTGCCAGCCTGGTGCTTGATATTCGAAGAACACTTTCGGAGCCCGAAGGGCGGACATACACTCTCGATCCTCCAAGGGGTCTGGGAAGAGGCGCATGTTAGGAAATGTGGATGTTTCAGGGATTTCAACTGCAACTAGTACGATTCTTACTTCTTGCGGTTTAGGTTAGGATTTCGTGCTTTGGGCTCAAGACGCCCGAATGCGCTCCTCAACAGACATAGTCTTTCTGCTACCGCGCAAGCCGCACTGTCCTGGTCATGTGCTCTAGAACCTACATGGGCGGGTCTTCGACGATTGCCGTGCTGAGTGGTTGGTTGGGTTCCATATATGTCTCGGTGTTTGCAGTCTTTTGCGTGTCCATTCCGGGATGCTCGTTAAATCGTTAAACGACACCACGTTTGAAATCCCAAACCCTTTCCCTGCACCCGTGGATCCCAAAGCAGTTACAACTTTTTGGGAACACCCCTAAACCCCCAACCCTAAACCCCAAACCCTAAACCCTAAACCCCAAACCCTAAACCGCTTCTTGTAACCAGGTTGGACCTGGAATCCCTCTGAACAATTCCTGATTAACATCCTCTTCGGCCACCAACAGGAAAACCATTAAAAAACAAAGGGCTGCAAGGTCCTTCCTAGCCAGGGTTTAGGGTTTAGGGCATAGGGTTTAGGGTTTCGGGTTAGGGGTTTGGGTTTCGGGTTTAGGGTTTGGGGTTTAGGGTCCTAGAATCCCTCAGCCCCCACTTTTGCAGCCCAAGTGGCTCCTTCCATTCCGCAGGCTCAGCACCTCTCGAAGCTCGTGGGGCGTCTTGCGGGTTTGGATTTAGTGTTTAGGGTTTAGGGTTTAGGGTTTGGGGTTTAGGGTTTAAGGTTCAGGGTGTAGTGTTTTGGGGCATTGGGACAATTAAGGGTGTTCGGGCTTGGGATGTTGGAGCTTTGTAACAAATTGTAGGGTCTAGGGTCGGGTACCCTCGTGGCTGCTTGACTTTGGAAGCTTGTGTTTGAGAAAGATTCCTGGAGCTTCCGAAACCCTAAAGCCCTGAACCCCTAATCCCCTACAGCCCAAACAGACAACACCTGTAGAAGCTCTGAAGTCTGAAGCCCTAAGCTCCGAATCCCCTGAACTGCAAAGCCCCTGAACGCCCCGCAAAGGCCTAGGGTCCCGAGGCCCCCCTGAACCTCCCTAAACCCCCCTAAGCCTCCCCAAACCCCTAACCTCCCCCCCCCCCCCCTTAAACCCCACCAAACACCCCAAACCCGCTTAAACCCTAAACCCTAAACCCTAAACCCTAAACCCTAAACCCTAAACCCTAAACCCTAAACCCTGAACCCTCCTCAGGAAAACCCCGGCACCTTGCCCCCAGGCAGGTGGGGCCCCGAAGATGGCCAGCGAGGTCTCGCTGACCTCTCCATGGGGGCCATGCTCTGGGCCATTGGGGCTTTAGGGATCAAAGTTTTCAAAGAGTTTCGGGTTCAAAGGGTTTAGGGTTGGGGGTGGGCTCTACCATCATGTACTATGGGATTTGCGCTACCCACCGTGGGCCCTCCGTTACAGCTTCGTTGCACCTCCGTTACAGCTTCCTATAGAGATTCGTTACAGCTCCGTTGCACCTCCGTTACACCTTCCGTTACACTTCCGTTGCAGCTCCGTTACAGCTCTGATGCACCTCCGTTACAGCTCCGTTGCACCTCCGTTACAGCTCCGTTACAGCTCCATCACAGCTCCGATGCACCTCCGCTACAGCTCCGTTACAGCTTCCGTTACAGCTCAGTTACACAGCTCCGTTACAGCTCCGTTACATCTCCCCTACAGCTCCGCCACAGCTCCCGTTACAGCTCAGTTGTACAGCTCCGTTACAGTTCGGGTTACAGGTCCGTTATCAAGTTGTTGCTTCTGCTACGGCTCCGTTAGAGCTTCCGTTACAGCATCGCTACAGCCGGTAGCGCTCCGTTGCAGCCTTCCGACACGGCTCCGTTACAGCTTCGCGACAAGTCCGTTACAGCTCCGCTCCTTTCCGTTACAGTTTCCGTTACAAGCCCCGTTACCGGCGAGCATTTCTGTCATAGTAGAGGCCTGCAAATGATGGTAGAGCCCCACCCCAGGTTTAGGGTTGGGCGTGTGGGTTTGATGAGATTTAGGATAACGAGGGTTTGGGGTCTGGGGCAAATTGGGGCTTCGGGCACAGTAGGGCTTAGGGTTTGGTAGGGGCTTCGGGGTTTGAGGTTTAGGCTGGGTTTAGGGTTTCACGCGTGGGACTAGGGACCCGAAACCCGAAACTCTAACCCCCGGCCCCAAACTCCCAAAAACCCTGGGGCCCAGGGGGGCCTTCAGAAGTCAGGTATATTTCCTAAGCAAGCGTGTCCGGCTCTCCGAAATCTGCACCCTCAGCCCACAGCCTCTGAAATCTCCACCCTCGCACCTACTTGGGCCCAGCTTGTGGGTAGGGTTTCGGGCATAGGGCTTGTAGAATGTAGGGTGTAGGGCATAGGGCTTAGTTCTTAGGGTGTCAGGCTCCCAGCAGGGCTTACTCGAACAACCTTCCTCTCTCTAAAAATATGAGCACCCCCTCCCCTCGCCGGTGCTGGAAAATATGGAAAGCTAGGGTGAAGGGTTTGGGGGGTAAGGATTGCCCTTGACTCTTGACTAAGCCTTCTCTGGACCTTCTTTTTTCCTAGGATGGGCCTTAGCACCCTCCGTACGAAGATATTCCTACGTATATTCTCTTCAGCAATAAGGGAGAACATGAAATACACCAAGGGCCTACCTAGTTCTCGGTGGGCAGTTCGGATGGATGCAGTAGGGCTTGGACCCTCGCTTTGAAAAGCCCTCCACTTCGAAGCTCAGGGTTTTGGGGGTTTATAGGCGTTGTAGGGTCTATAGGGCCGATAAGGTTTATAGGGTTTCATAGGGTCAATGGGGCTAATAGGGTTTATAGGTTTTTGAGGATTCAGGCTTTGGGGTGGGGCTTCTGCCACAGCCTCTCGAAGAACGAATTCCACAAGGGTGCGGCGTTCCGGGCGTGCAAAGAGAAGGGCTCAGCGCCACACAGTTCCATTCAAGCTTGTCTCAACAGCCATGGGAAGTGTCGAGTTCATGAAGCCCTAAACCCTAAACCCTAAACCCTAAACCCTAAACCCTAAACCCTAAACCCCAAACCCTAAACCCTGTTGGCCCGAAACCCGATTGGTAAACCCCAAATGCCTGCGCCATCATGGTGCTGTGCTCTTGACGGAAGAGCCTGCGCCAACAAACCCTAAACCCTAAACCCTAAACCCTAAACCCTAAACCCTAAACCCTAAACCCTAAACCCTAAACCCTAAACCCTAAACCCTAAACCCTAAACCCTAAACCCTAAACCCTAAACCTTAAACCTGAATCGGTCTTCAGCTTAGGGTTTAGGGTTTAGGGTTTAGGGTTTAGGGTTTAGGGTTTAGGGTTTAGGGTTTAGGGTTTAGGGTTTAGGGTTTAGGGTTTAGGGTTTAGGGATACCTTATTCCACATAGTCACAGTCTTGGACTTCTGGCTCAGTCTCAGGCCCAAAAGAACCCTCTCAGTTGACCCATGCTAAGCTTGCAGTCGGAGTGCATACTGGGTCGCAGGCGTTTAGGGCCTCATGCCATTGAGGGTTTAGAGGTTTAGTGGCTTTTGAGGGTGGACGGTCGCCGGGTTTTCCGAGCCCAGTGCCGCACCACCCCGCAGGTCTTATTGGAGCAAGAACCCAATGAGCCCAACACATCCTTCAGCTAGTGAGGCAGACCTGAAATCAAACTGAGCCCGTACAAGGCCCTACACCTCCATGGTTCTTCTGCCGCCCCCTCTCACCCCCGCCGCTCCCCTTTCCCCAGCCAACCCTGACCGCCAAACCGAAGCGCTCTAAACCAGAATATGGACTTTTGAAGATTGGGTTTAGGGTTTAGGGTTTAGGGTTTAGGGTTCAGGGTTCAGGGTTTAGGGTTTAGGGTTTAGGGTTTCGCAAAGTTGAATTGTCTCGTCGAGCGCCTGCGAGAATGTTCGGTCTTCCTCTTCTCAAACAACTGCATGAAGCATTCCGAAGGATCCGCAACAGCACCGGGGATGTAGAGGTGTCACAGGCAGCTATCCACAGGCCGAAAAGAAAGGTGGTTTAGGGTTTAGGGTTTAGGGTTTAGGGTTTAGGGTTTAGGGTTTAGGGTTTAGGGTTTAGGGTGCTTGAGTGATCTGCCAGTTCTGGCAGCTGAGCTCCTTGCGATGCAGACCCTTGCAGGAACTAAACCCAAAGTCGCGGAGCTTCTTGGCGGGAAGCCAAGCAGGCTCAGAAACTCCCACCCCCCCACCCCGAATCCAAAATATGCGCCCAAAATCTTCTCCCAGAGAGCCCAGTAGCCACTTAATTTCAGGAATGCGCCTTGAACTATATCGGGCATTTCATTGCGATTTGAAGATCTCCAATATTTCAAGGGTATTTTAGACGGCTCAACTTCCTCGCAGCCTGCGAGTGGTTTCGGGCCTATGGTTTAGCAGCCAAAAGCTCGACCCTATATTGACCTTTACGGTGCGCAGTTTAGGCACAAAATTGGGCACCTGAGCAGCAGGGAGTGACCGTGAATCTGTCCAGC